GTTACCTCCTGTTAGTAGGGCAACTCCTCGATGTAGATGTCACCATTGTTGCATACTACGCCCCAAACCAAGATCCTTTACCATTCCTTTCACACATACTCTCGGTTATAGACCATCATAAACGCGGAACTTTAATTGTTAGCGGAGACTATAACAATGTAATATATCCCTTTCTCGACAAATCTCCTCAACTATCTCCTATCCCTGCTTCTAAACAAACCTTCCAATCCATACTACAACGTTATTCTTTGATAGACTCATGGCGAGAACTTAACCCGACCAAACGCCAATACACCTTCTAATCTCACCCCCACCGGTCATTCTCTAGGATAGATCATATTTTTGTCACCACTGCCTCTTCCCCTCGGCTTTTGACCTCTGAAATAATTCCCATTCCCTGGTCTGACCATTGCGCCGTGTTCACATCTATGGCCTCGTTGGCCTCATCCCCCGCTGAATCCTCTTGGATCATTAATGATAACCTGCTTGTAAACCCAGCTCACTGTCTAGAAATAGAAACAGCCCTTAAAGACTACTTCTCTCTCAATCAATCACCTGATATTTCCCCTCTCTTGTTATGGGAAGCACACAAACCAGTATTACGAGGGTTTTGCATTAGCAAAGCATCCTTCTTAAATAAAACCAAAAGGCAGCAACGTCTTCTACTGGAGCAGACTTATGATCGTTCTCATCAAGCCTTCCAGACGGCTCCCACGCCCGCCAATCGTGAAACCCTGGAGCGATCTAGATTAGCCCTAGATCTTTTTCTCACAGACCAAGCGGAACTCTCACTCCGTAGATCTAGGCACAAATACTATACTAGGGCAAATAAACCCAACACATTCCTGGCTCTTTCACTTCGCAGGCTCGACCAGCTCACTAAACCTATCAGGATACGCACCTCCTCTGGTAACCTCACTAGTAACCCAGAACACATCCTACAGACGTTCCATAAACACTTGTCACAACTTTACTCCTCTTCCACACCTTTCGACCCCACACAGGCTGATACCCTTTTAACTTCCATTTCTTTCCCGAAACTCTCAGAGTGCCAGTTAGCGGCACTTGAAAGACCCATCTCCCAAGCCGAAACCTTAGACGCTATTAAAAGTCTAAAGCTACGTAAACGCCCAGGGCCAGATGGCTTCTCAGCCACTTACTATAAAAAATTTGCTCATCTTCTTACACCTATCCTCACTAATGCTTTTAACGCTTTACTATCTGGCCAAACCTTCAAACATGAAACAGTGCAAGCGAACATTTCAATGATCCCAAAGCCGAATTCTGATGACACGCAGTGGTCCAACTATAGGCCAATCTCTCTCCTCAACATTGACATCAAACTGCTAGCAAAAGTCCTTTCTTCACGTCTTAACCTGTATATTGGCTCTTTAATTCATAATGACCAAGTGGGCTTTATCCCGACTAGACAAGCGGGAGACAACATCAGACGTGCATCCCTTTTGGCAAACTTAGCAAGATCCCGTAATATTCCCGCATATTTCCTGTCCCTAGATATCCGGAAAGCATTTGATACAGTCTCCTGGCCATACCTCGATTATATTTTGCATCGGTGGGGTTTTGGCCCACATTTCTTAACCTGGATCTTCTCGCTGTATCGAGAACCTTCGGCCAGAATTAGGTATCTGGGGCACAGGTCAGCTCAGTTCCCGATCTCCAGAGGCACGAGACAGGGCTGCCCTCTGTCCCCCTTGCTCTTTGCTCTGGCTATAGAGCCCCTAGCCCTCTTAATTAGAGCTAATCCGGATGTCAGGGGACTCGAAATTGGGGGCACACATCATAAGCTATGTCTCTTTGCAGATGACGTCTTACTCTTTCTCACGTCACCGTTGACTTCTTCACCCTCCCTACTCCGGCTTCTCGAGGCGTTTGGCGCGCTTTCTGGTCTAATAATAAACCCAAATAAATCTACAGCACTTAACATTTCTCTCCCCCCTAAAGAGTTGACGCATCTGAAACAGATTTTACCATTCCCTTGGTCACAGTGTCATATCCCTTTCTTGGGAATCAAACTGACTCCTGGATTATCAGACCTTTATGCAGCTAACTATCTTCCGATGCTAAACCATCTCTCTGCCCTTATGTCCAAATGGTCTTCCCTCCCCCTCGCATGGCTAGGCAGAATAGCAGTTATCAAGATGTCAATCCTACCAAAAATTCTATATCTGTTTAGAGTCCTTCCAGTCCCAGTCCCCCCTCATTACCTCCGCACACTGCAGCGTCGCATCTTCTCCTATGTATGGGGCAATACTCGCCCTCGTATACCCCGCTCCACCCTATACCGCACTAAGCTTGCTGGAGGTCTAGGCCTACCCGACATCAGCAAATATTACCAAGCAGCGCATTTAGCCCAATTACCTAAGTATCATGCAACCTTTGAAATCCCTCAATGGGTAGCGCTTGAATCAATAGAATGCGATCCCCTATCCACCGCTAACCTACTTTGGTTAAGGCCAGTAGACCGCCACTCTATAACCAACCCCATCACTTCTCATTTTTTATCCTTATGGGATAAATTGAAAACCCGTCACCTCCTCCAATCACTACATAATCCTATGCTCTCGTTTCTACGAAACCCAGCTTTTCCCCCGGCGTGGCAGACACCCCGTTTATTCAAAGCCTGGTCCTCCGCTAATTTGCTCCGTACGCATCACTTCCTACAGAGGAATAAGTTTAAATCCTTTGCCTCGCTGCGGGAAAAACATAGCCTCCCGGCCTCTGAGATATTTAGATACTTGCAGCTACAACACTTTTACGCACCATACGCTACAATAACCAATCGGCCAGACACCATGTCTCTCTTTGAACGAGCGTGTTGCAAAGACCCTCACAGACGCGGGCTTATCTCCTGCTTATACTCACTCTTCGCCACTTCGACCACCACGTCCCCCCCCCTCTATATACCCATAAATGGGAAGTGGATCTAGGTAAGAAATTCGACCCGTCTGATTGGGACCGCATTTGGGCCAACACAAAATCGTCTTCGCAGAACGTTGTAGCATTGGAAACGAATTATAAAGTTCTAACCCGCTGGTACTTGGTCCCAGCAAGAATTGCAAAATTTACCCCTAATTACTCGCCCAACTGTTTCAGAGGCTGTGTGGATCTGGGAACACATTACCATATATGGTGGGACTGTCCTGTAGCCCGAATCTTTTGGGATGAAATTTTTACCATGATATCTACATTTAGCACTATCACTATACAGCCAGACCCAACGACAGCCCTACTCAACCAATGCCCTTCTGGCATCTCCAACTCGCAATTTAAGCTGTTTATGCAAGTCACGACAGCGGCTAAACAGGTTATAGCAAAGTCTTGGAAATCCCCTACTCTTAGTGTCGCGGCTGTCAAAACCAGAATAACTCAAGCCATGATACACGCAAAGGTGGAAGCCACAGTTCTTGACACGATCTCTAAATTCCTGCGCATATGGAGCCCTTGGGTAGAGCATTTCCTTCCGTCTAACTTTGACGAGTCACTGCTTCTCCCTTGAGTTCAGTACTGTACGACAAGGATATGGTACATAACCCCTCGTGCGTAGCGCGTAGAGGCTGTTGTGAATTTGATGAATATTCATGGAGTCATCGTTGTTGTTCTTCTTCCCCTTCCCCCCGCTTCCGCCCCTGTCTGACCCCCTCCAGAATTCCCCCTATTTCTTTAATGCACTTGGGAGACATTGCCATGATTGACTGATACCATGTTGCATTCTGTCATTGATTTCTATTTACCTGTTTCCGTTAGAAATGTATAGACATTAATGCCTTGGCCCTCATTCATTTTATTGTATCCTACTGTCACATCAATGCCTAATATGTATTAATAATGTCTCCTTGTTTGTGTCATCCCCGTTTATTGTTAATAAAATTGTTTGAACAAGAATATCAATCAGCAAATAACAATAGATAATAGTCCTTTAATTAAACAATATATCCAAGTGCAAAGTGCAAATATCCACGAAGGGAATCCACCACCTTGGATGGATGTACACTCACCAGAGAGTAAACATTAATAGGCATCTGTTTAAACCTGTCACATCTGGAGGTGAAGAGGCAGCCAAGGGGTTAATCCTACTGCTTCATCCGAATGAAAGTGGACAGGTGTCCCTTGTCCTGGGAAAGATAGCTGGTTGAGGATAAGGTGACGAGAGAGCTTCCTGTACACCTTTTGTCCTGTTTCCTGTGGGGATGATAACAGAGTATAAGAGGGCACAGTGTAGCACGGGTGTCTGTAGAAGATCCAGGTCAACAGATTTGGTTGCAGATGTGAAACTGAAAACAGCAGGCAGGCTGATAGCTAGCAGGTGCAGGATCTCAGATGCATGGTCAGACATACAGAAGTCGGCAAAAATCAGGCAGCCGAAGTGCAGAATTAGGAACCAGGATCAGAGCCAAAGCCAGGCCAGGGCCAGTGTCCAGCAGGCAGAGGATATACAATTCTTAGATGTTATAGCTGTGTTAGTTTCTTTTGAAGGCTTGCTTTCTTTTATTTTCACATGATGATCTAGCCAGTAAGTCTTTTTCAAAAGAACATGCGCTCCATTAATAAAAGGTGTTGCCTTCTTCACATGTGCAGCAAAAAATATGCCGTCCTTTTATTTGGCAATCTGACTGACTGAGGAACCTCGCATGATAAATGGTCAGTACAAATGGAATGTTCTTCGGGTAGTTACCTGACAAATGGAAACAGGACACCTGTATCACCTGTGCCTGTGTACCAGGGACCCAAACATTAACTACCTGCCGACCGCAGATAGCCGAATGACGGCTGCACTGCGGCCGGACAGTTCTGGGTGGACGTCATATGATGTCCTCCCAGAACGCACTCTCCTGCGCGCCCCAGGGGGCGCGCACCCGGCGATCCCGTGATCGATGTGTCCTACGGACACAGCTGATCACGTGATGTGGTAAAAGGCCAATCACATCGGCCTTTTACCACCTGATCAGCGGTGTCCAATGACACGCTGATCAGAGGGAAATGCAAGTGCCGGTTCTCGGCTGCACTTTCCTCACGCTGTCAGATCGTGAGGAAAGTACTGCCCAGAACCGGCAGTTGTCAGAGCGGGGATCGGCACCGATCATCAGGGCACTGATGATCAGTGCCCTGATGATCGGTGCCAAGCAGTGCCACCCGCAAGCTCCACCCACCTGTGCCCAGCAGTGCGCCCACTAGCTCCGCCCACCTGTGCCCAGCAGTGCACCCACCTGTGCCCAGAAGTGCCACCTACCTGTGCCCAGCAGTGCACCCACCTGTGCCACTCTGCAGTGTCACCCACCTGTGCCCAGACGTGCCACCCACCTGTGCCCAGAAGTGCCCCCCACCTGTGCCCACCCACCTGTGCCCACCAGTGCCACTCACCTGTGCCCACCCACCAGTGCCACCCACCAGTGCCGCCAGTCAGTGCCACCAGTCAGTGCCCAGGGTTGTGCCAGTCAGTGCCGCCAGTCAGTGCCCAGCAGTGATGCCAGTCAGTGCCGTCTATCAGTACCCATCATCAGTGTCACCTATCAGTGCTGTCTATCAGTGCTGCATATTAGTGCCGCCTATCCGTGACACCTCATTAGTGCTGTCTATCAGTGCCGCCTATCCGTGCCACCTCATTAGTACTGCCTATCAGTGCCCTTTAGTGCTGCCTATCAGTGCCCATCAGTGCCGCCTATCAGTGCCCATCAGTGCTGCCTCATCAACGCACATCAGTGAAGGAGAAAAATTACCTGTTTGAAAAATTTTATAATAGAAACAAAGAAACTTTTTTTTTTTTTTTCAAATTTTTTGCACTTTTTGTATTTATAGAGCAAAAAGTAAAGCGCCCAGTGGCGATTAAATACCACCAAAAGAAAGCTCTATTTGTGAGAAAAAAAATGATCAAAATTTCATATGGGTACAATGTTGCATGACCGCGCAATTGTCAATCAAAGTGCGGCAGTGCTGAAAGCTGAAAATTGGCCTGGTAAGGAAGGGGGTATAAGTGCCTGGTAGGCAAGTGGTTAAAAAAGAAGCTTTTTTGGCTATACTTCTCTTCTGGGCAACAGGAGTACACTTACTTCTGCACCTCTGTGCACTCAATTCAGCCAACAGTGGGCTAAAGCCTGCTTTCTGCTGATGTCACCTTAATGTTGGGATCCACCCAGATGCCTGAATGGCAGCTGGCTCAGCCTCTCAGCACTCCACTGAAAGCCTGAGCCAGCCACTCCCACCCCCTCTACAGCCTCAACAGGGGCCGCACAGAGAACCAGTGACTGACAGTTGCCGCTCTCTGCTCCGTGAAGACCAAGAACTGAGTGATCAACAGTCAATGTGATTGCCCAGTTCTCGGTCTTAGAACTGGCAGGGAGCAGCTGCAGCATCAGACCAATGCTGCAGCCATATACTGTAGGTGAGTATATATGTTTGTTTGTTTGTTATCCCACACTTTTCCTTTGAGCTTCAAATATGTAGCTTGTCTACAATATAGCACTGGCTTTATCGCACCTGTTCTGAAGTGGTAATGTTTTGAGCTGTATGTATAGTATCACACAGAATTTTTAAGATGATTGCATCTGCCAGAGAATAAGCCACAATAGCACAAAGTATTTTGGTGCTCTTTGAGACTTTTCATCCTCCTGTTATCTACAGTTTCTTATTTCCCAACTCTGCTGCGAAGCAGAAACCTCAGATCTCGACTATTTTATTATCAGCTGCTATAAATTATACATCAAAAATGATGGCACCTCTTGTGACATTCACAATATTTTAAAAGACTACTTGTAAAAAAGATTCAACGAGAAGGCTGTGCACCATCCTGAGTGACCTCAGGAAATACTATGCAATCTATCAATTTATTTTTAGCTGGATTTTCTTTTGTAGCAGAATCATGAAGCACAATGAATGGGGTGCAGACAAAATAAAAAGGATGTTTTAAGAACAGCAATGTTCTTTAAAATACAAGGAATTCAGAGAATCTGCTTTTCACATTGAAAGCTGCACATAGTGCACAATGTCTAATTTATTTTAGGGTTCTGCAGAGTTCTACATTTAATGGGGATTCTTTTTTTACTTTTTTTTGTTCAATTATATTTCTAGATTTCTAACTTACGGATAAAGCAGTGCATGTATTTCCTACTATAAAATTCCAACCTGTAGCTTTGGCCTTTACATGAAAATAACAAGTTTCCTCTTAAGGGATCAGTCATTCCAAAACTGATTCATTAGTGTAAGTCAGGTGCCAACATGTTCATTTGTGTGTCAAGTGCATGTATGGTTTGTGGAGTCTTAAAGCAATATCTTTCTAGCTGAATGTATAGATGCTCTCACATGTCACTGCATTAATAGGGTTGAATACCAAGCAATCTGTTCACGTTATTTATGTAATGTTTATATAACTGTAGTACTATAGTAGTGTAGTATGGTAGGAATTAAATTTTTGCTCTAAAAGTGTTCCTACTTTGATGTAGGGGTGGGACTTCCATGATGACAAAATCCCATGAGCTATACAGATGGTATCATATGTATTTATAGGACCATGTTGGCAAGCTCACTTGTGATGATTCGATGATCCAGAGAAATGTAGTGTCCTGCTTCTTGAGGTTTCTGTTACATGGGGAGAAAAAACTTTTGGGTCTCTAGAAAAAACAAATAAAGCAAAACAGGCAGCACAGGAGCTAAATGGTTAGCATGTCTACCTGTCATTACTAGGTTTGTTGGTTTGAATCCACCCCATGGCACCACCTGACTAGAGTTTGCATGTTCTCCTTGTGCCTGCTTGGGTTTCCACCCACACTCCAAAGACATGCTGGTAGGTAAATTGGCCATAGTATGTATAAACGTGTTATTGACCTTAGATTGTACACTCCTTAGGGACTGATATGAATGTACAATGTGTGTGTGTATGTATGTATGTATATATATATATATATATATATATATATATATATATATATATATAGTGCTATATATAGTACCTGTAATAAATGAAAACTGACTGTTTTTACAAGTTAGAATAAATAATATTCTGGCCAATTAAATGAAAGAGCACCCAAACACTTGACGTGCCTGAACATGTCCAAACACTTTTGAAAAACATAGCTTTAGGTGCGTTTTTCCAGGAGAAATACCTTCAGAAGGGCTCAGTGTTCATGTAGCCTAATACTATCATAAGGGAGCTGACAAGTACCCTATGTGATATTAAATGTTTGATGACAAGCACGGGCATTGTTGGGATTGTGAAAGCCTTGGTGCTCCCCTGAGCACTCTAAAGAGATAAATTATACGACATATGTAGGGTGAGTGTTTCCACACTGTGTTAACATTGGTTTGAGCTTAAAGGGAAATAATTAAATCGAATCTAAGCATTCTTTCTGTGCCACAGACCTTGTACCCACACAAATATGCTTTAATATGTAAGGCATATAAACCTTGGTGCAATCATTTTAAAAGTGCATGTCCATCAAAAGCGTCTTTTTGAGTTTTGGAATGGGATAAGATTCTGGTTCGCCACTTAGGTGGGTTCATGGGGAATCCAGGGGGTTTTAGGCTCCTAGATCCAGTGAATTTATGATGAAATAGCAACGAAATTCACTAAAGCAAATTTTTAAGGACCCATAATGTCCTGCCCAAATTTTAACTGTGTCCAGCTGAATTAGAATGGCCAGTAATGCTGGATTTGTCATGTGCTAGCCCTTCACTATAACAGACTAGGTTCCCAGTAGCCACTTGTCAGTGTGTGTTGGAGAACTTTAGGGAGAGCTGACAATCTGTGTAAGGTATGATAGCTGCCATACAGTGTGTGCTGCATATTTTTGTGTACCCCTCCTCCACATGCAGAAGGTATTATTTTAGTAAAGGGCTGGTCTGTCTTGGGACTCTTGAAAGACCTGCAACATATCTGTTTACTTGAGGGATTCTCGTGTTTATGCAGATATGCTGCAGGCTTTTGCTAGGTTCCAAATACCTGGCAGAGACCATATCTGCATATGTGTAGGAATATGAAAAAGTCATGACAAAGATGAGCTGCAAGATGGAGGCATGGAAAGTTGGCAGAGGACTTTAAATGTAAGTGTAGCATTTTACTAGATAGGTGCTAGGATTGGTTAGATTTAGTGCTCACTCACTTTGTCCAGCAAAGCTGGGTGTGTTTTGTAACGTAAATATAGCTTGCCTCACTGTAACCAAGGGTAACTGCATAAATACTCTGAGAGACTGGGCTTTTGGGTCTCTTCCTGCTGAGGATCATTCCAGCCTGGATGGCTGCTGCCCTGCAAGGCAGTGCTCATGTGCTTGCCTGGATGCTGAAGCTACAAAGAGCTGACTGAGAGATTATCTGCTAAAGATCTAGTCTGGTGTCAGAGGAAAAAGGTGTCGCATGGATGTTGAAAGGAGGCTAACCAACTTTCACTGGAAATGTGTGAGCATGGAATGCCGTGAGAGATCTTAGAGACTTTTGGGCTGCTGCCACCCATTTTGTGCTAGAGAGTCAGCTGTGTGTGTTTGTGTGAAGTGAACATTGGTGTTCTGAAGAGGTTAGTCTATTTATTTCTCTGTGAAGGGACTCTGCTCTTGTTGCTCTAAGGAAAGAATCCTGCATTTAACTGTTTCTGTTAGAAAGTCCAAAATATGCCATATGGAAGGACTTTGGCTTCAGCTTTACAGAAAGGAGTTCACTGTCCTCAACGTGTACATAGTTTCTGTTAATGGAGTATCCCACCCAATTCCCTCAACCCTATCCACGTTCTCCAAAAATAAAACCAAAAACAACATTCCTATACTGCTTATTGAGGAAAAGAGTGACTGTGTTTGTGTGCCTCGCTGCGGGGCAATCCACTGGGAAAGAACCTTTGCAAATTTATAATGGCTCCTACTGGAGTAAGCGCTACAAAAGGAAGACAACACTGGATTCCATGGACTAGTAAGTATACTATTTTTTTATATTATAGGAAACATTATAGTGTCAATATAATTTTATGTACATAGGATAAAGTTTTTCTTAACCCATAGTAAGATGGAACAGTACATACACGTTATCAGGCAGCATTATAATTAGAGATGAGCGAATCGAACCTGGCGAAGTGGAATTCGTTTCGAATTTCAGGAAAAATTCGATTCGCATCGAATCCGAATTTTAGCAAACTTCGGTGCACGAATCGAATTTTTCCCGATCAGCCGGCAAAAGTGTCACTGCAGAGAGCTCCGCTATTTCTGACAGTTCTGACAGTTCATTTACAGCGGTTGAAACATTGTATCTATTTGTTTCCATTTAGGATACAGATGTTTTTATTCGGAAATAAATAGATACAATGTTTCAACCGCTGTAAATGTGAAGGAACTGTCAGAGAACTGTCAGAAATAGCGGAGCTCTCTGCAGATACACTTTTT